TTGATCAATTATCAATTTCAGGAACCGGTGAGTCATGCGGGGGGGGGGGGGGGGGGGGGGGGGGGGGGGGGGGGGGGGGGGGGGGGGGGGGGGGGGGGGGGGGGGGGGGGGGGGGGGGGGGGTGGGGGGCGTGTTCGGTTGTTAATTCTAATGCTAATGAGCACACTCTAGATAATACAGAATCCTTATCCAATACAGTATCGGACAGACTCAGGATGAATTTGAGGAGAAGACTTACGATTGATTACAAACATCTAAACTCCGATTTAAACTGTGGCGGATGTGGTGTTTGAATGAACTAATGATACCTTTGTACTTGTTGAATGCTGGATTTTGAATTCCAAATACAATACATTCGTTTGTGCTTGTGTCGTAGTTCTTGATTCAATTGCGTTAATTCTGGGATTCCTCGTTTATACGATAATTCAAATACGTGTGAATATTATTTGCACCCACTTTCAGCCAAGTCGATATAGTGAAAGGAAAACTATCGAGTCTCACCATAACCAAATACATTTATGAAGTAATAACTTCTTAACTCCATTCACAAAGGGCGTTACTCTCTTTTAAGACAGTTCGACCAGAAATTAAGCTCTATCAAACGTGGATGTAGAAAGAACGTTCAATTAGTTTACTGGAGAAAGTTTAAAAGGAAAAGACTGGAATGTATCACAGATGAAGTTTATTCAAAAATCAAATCGAAGTTATCGTACACATTGAATAGTACTGTAACAGTAAATAAATGCCGAAAATAAATAGCTCTGTAAGTCTTCGACATTGGATGCTGAACACATTAGTCTTAATGGACTCACCTAGCTGAAGGCGCTCGGTCATGCATCCGCACCAGATCACGAGTAGGAACGCCGTGCTCAACAACCCCTGCAATTACTAGACAGATTAGATCAGACGATCCTCGATATATTGATAGCCTAGCAAACATATCTTCGAACCTCATCGCTTCTGACTTTCAATTTCACTTGGTGGGTACGGTTCATAGTAGATGTTACTGGTTAAAGCGTTGTCAAACTCCGAATACCTGTAACATCTTCAGTACACGTAAAACCTTGCGAAAAAACTTGTGCCAACAGTTTCATGATTAGAATCTTTAGGTTTTGAGAATCTTTGTTAGAAGTAAGAGAACGTGCACTTTCTGAAACTTAATCACTCATCCATCCGATAAATAATTTTTAACCTCCAGATTCAAGAACAATCAGATGAAGAATAAACCTCTGCGTAATCGCTTTCTCTTGTACTTTCGAATTCAGGACCTAAGGAATAAACAGTTTTTTTACACCCCAGTAAAGCTTCGTGTTTGAATAGTCAAAGTAACGATTTTTTCTCTCGCAGATTAGGGAGGGTTTTCCAAACCTGTGTGAGTTGTTAAAGTGTTGGCAGTTTGCGCGTCTATCGATTAAAGTCGCTGTTGGATGGTCTTTACCACGAATAACGGAATTCATTCTCAATCTTTATCATGAAGCTGGATCAAACAAGTGATGAGTCGTCGAATAAGTTCCTGTCGAAGGTTTGTCGCCCAGTCACTGTGGTTAGTTAACGTTGAAGTACATTATCCTTAATATCATTTGTCAGATGCACCAAACCATAATTGATAAGCTCTATCCGTATAGGATAACTAGATGGCTATTTGCACTGCTGTTATTTGCTATTTACGTGCTCCGGATAGCATCTATCCAGGTGGGTCGATTTATGTTACATAATGTTTATTTTCAGGGCTTCCATATCGTTAGCTATACTCTCGCAATATATTTATTAAGTTTATTCATATCATTTATTTCTCCAAAAGTAGATCCTGCTGCTGCAGATTATTCGGGTAAGTGTATGCTATTCATATTCCTAAATGGCTACTAGATGAAATCCCTACACTTCCACGAACTGTAGGTGAAGAGTTCAGACCTTTTATACCAAGATTACTTGAATCAAAATTCTGGTAAGACTCTGCTTCCTAATTTTTTTGTGGTAGGTTATATGTATTTCAAACGTTATTTTTATATCTTAAATTATCCAAACACGCCATACGTATTAGTGATACGTAAAACAGTTCAGAAACGTAATTCACATGACCACTACCTTAATTGATTATAATTTAGCAAAACTTTCGTAGTATTTGTTTCGCAAAAGAATACTTCCATTATTCAGTGGAGGATATATATCTACCGTGCTACTCTTCCGTTGATCATGATAATTTCAGCATCATTCTGAGAAGGCTGAAATGCTGCTGTTAGTTTTGCCATTAAGAATCTCAGCTGATCTAATTTCTTCGCTAGTTTTGTAGTGTTTCACTGTGGTAGACTACGTTTCTCATTATTGTCAACATCCATATCGTCGATCAACATATTGCTGCAAACATCATCTGCAACTGAAAACCAGTTTTGAATACAGTCCCATCCAGCGAATTAGACGGAGATCTAATGCTAAGAAAAGGTGATCCCTGTCGGTTCGGAGTGCATGTGGCAATTTCCGAAGACTTGGTAGGTTATTACGACACCAAAGCCCCTAGCGAGTCGCTTGATATAAGGACAGTCAATATTTAGTATGTAGCATTGGTACAAAAGGCGCCAAAACATATGCACCACACAAATCATTTGGCATGAGGGCTGGAATACTGCTCGGGCACCCAAGCTAAAGCAGACGGTTTTCTTGCCCCCAAATGCCCTAGTGTGGCCGAGAGTGGGGTTGACCCGCCCTTCCTCTCAAAATGCTTTCACACGGCCACGCGTATACAGTCTCTGCCAGGGAAGTCCTGCTCACTGCCTTCTCGTAGCGGGGGTGTTATTTACGAAAGTGAGAGAACAAAAAGCGAATGTCCGGCGCTTTATCCGGATCCCAAACCAATGGTGCACATGGGTTCCAGTATCCTGCGGAAACAAGTGGCGTATGAACCAGTCGTTGATAACCGTCTACGATGAGACTTTCTCCTCACAATGCTCCATTGCCTTGTGTGTCAGACCTTTAGGCCAATCGCTCGGCATGTGGCCCCCTAAGAAAACCACCTGCTTCGGTTTGGGTACCCGAACATTATCACAGCCAACACACAAATAACATGAAATGACGATATTTATTGAAAATTCTATTCTCGCTTCGATTTACAGTAAAACGATTCACATTATTATTATTATTTACTACGTCATTTACTCACTCTCTTTTATTCCCTATTTTTCGACTTATACAGCAGCTCGCCTATGGTGGGAACTCGGTTCTATCTGAACGTTCTCGATTGACTGCCTGGTTGAAAATTGTATGCTACCACCAAATACGAATACTGAGGCAGTTTTTCTGAAACCACGTGCACCATTCAAACTGGCTGCCTTCAACGTTCGCGCACTTATGCAGGTCGGACAACAGATGGGGCTGACTATGTCTTTGGAAAGTCTTAATACCGACGTTTGTTGTCTATCCGAGACCCGTATTCAAGACTCTGATGAAGTACTACAAGTTCGCTCTCCATCTGTCGCTTCAAAAAGCTTGTTTTATGTGCGTTTATTCGGGGACCCTGTGGCATCTTCGTCTGGTCTTGCTGGCGTTGGTGTCGCACTAAGAGCTAGAGCTGAGGCAGCACCAATCGATTAGACCCCCATCAACAGTCGGCTATGTGCTGTTAGATTAGAAAGTTCCACCAAAGTGAGAAAAAATCGGTGTGAGAAACGATGTCTTTTCGTCATCTCCGCCTATGCCCCGACAGATTACAGCCCGGATGCAATCAAGTATGAATTCTACCATCAGTTAACTGTTCTTCTCCAGAAAGTGCGTTCGACAGATATTGTAGTACTAGCCGGAGACATGAATGCTCAAGTCAGGCGTCTAGACACAGAAGAGAATCGATTGGGTGGCCTATGGGGACTTGCTGGTCACAGGACAGATAACAGAGACCGTCTACTGTAACTGTGCACAGACCACAACCTGTTTCTGGCTAGCACTAACTTTCGGCACAGTCATCGCCGATGTGCCACCTGGCGTCCTCCCTCTGCATCTCAAGCCTGGATTCAGATTGATCACATCGCGATCAGCTACGGCTGGCGTGGTTGTGTACAAGACTGCCGCTCCGTTTGGAGTACGTATCTGGACTCTGACCATGCCTTGGTCTGCGCCAATCTTACCTTACTTTTCAGTGGCCAACGAAGTGACCGCCACCAACGGATTGATGTTAGCAAGCTAGTTGCAACTTATGTTGCTAGTAAGTATCGAACCGAGCTAGCCTCTAGGCTAGCTACCATTCCACCAAAAAGTATAGATGAGCATTGGTTGCAATTGCATTACGCCATGAAATTGGCGGGTACAGTCAGTTGTAAGTAACCTGAAGAAACCCAGTGCTTATAAGCGGGACGTCTCGCGAACCCACAACTGACTGTTCCCGCCATTTTCATGGCGTCATGAAATTGCAACCAATTCTCATCTATACTTTTCGGTGGAGTGGTAGCTAGCCTAGAGGCTAGCTCGGTTCGATACTTACTTGCAACATAAGTTGCAACTAGCTTGCTAACATCAATCCGTTGGTGGCGGTCACTTCGTTGGCCACTGAAAAGTAAGGTAAGATTGGCGCAGACCAAGGCATGGTCAGAGTCCAGATACGTACTCCAAACGGAGCGGCAGTCTTGTACACAACCACGCCAGCCGTAGCTGATCGCGATGTGATCAATCTGAATCCAGGCTTGAGATGCAGAGGGAGGACGCCAGGTGGCACATCGGCGATGACTGTGCCGAAAGTTAGTGCTAGCCAGAAACAGGTTGTGGTCTGTGCACAGTTACAGTAGACGGTCTCTGTTATCTGTCCTGTGACCAGCAAGTCCCCATAGGCCACCCAATCGATTCTCTTCTGTGTCTAGACGCCTGACTTGAGCATTCATGTCTCCGGCTAGTACTACAATATCTGTCGAACGCACTTTCTGGAGAAGAACAGTTAACTGATGGTAGAATTCATACTTGATTGCATCCGGGCTGTAATCTGTCGGGGCATAGGCGGAGATGACGAAAAGACATCGTTTCTCACACCGATTTTTTCTCACTTTGGTGGAACTTTCTAATCTAACAGCACATAGCCGACTGTTGATGGGGGTCTAATCGATTGGTGCTGCCTCAGCTCTAGCTCTTAGTGCGACACCAACGCCAGCAAGACCAGACGAAGATGCCACAGGGTCCCCGAATAAACGCACATAAAACAAGCTTTTTGAAGCGACAGATGGAGAGCGAACTTGTAGTACTTCATCAGAGTCTTGAATACGGGTCTCGGATAGACAACAAACGTCGGTATTAAGACTTTCCAAAGACATAGTCAGCCCCATCTGTTGTCCGACCTGCATAAGTGCGCGAACGTTGAAGGCAGCCAGTTTGAATGGTGCACGTGGTTTCAGAAAAACTGCCTCAGTATTCGTATTTGGTGGTAGCATACAATTTTCAACCAGGCAGTCAATCGAGAACGTTCAGATAGAACCGAGTTCCCACCATAGGCGAGCTGCTGTATAAGTCGAAAAATAGGGAATAAAAGAGAGTGAGTAAATGACGTAGTAAATAATAATAATAATGTGAATCGTTTTACTGTAAATCGAAGCGAGAATAGAATTTTCAATAAATATCGTCATTTGCATTTTATTCGATAGAGGAGAGCTGACTCCCCACTGTCGATTAAAACAGGTATTTGGGGGTATGTTAGGTACGTAAGCCTTTTTAGATTTGCATACAGTAATTGTTTCATTTCAGATAGATGAATCACTGCCAGATCTATGAAACTTACGAAAGCTTAGTACTTATTAACCTGGACATACTGACTTCTTTTATGCTTATGCATATGAATCAAGAAATGTTTGGTCATTTCGAAGGTTTTGCCACAGGCATTGTGCCATCAAGCACTAGTTATAACGAATCGAATCATTAGAAATAAACATTTATTTGGTTTTGAAAACTAATTAGTAAACTGGTCTTTTCGATTCTTTGTGTTGTAGATTAAGTCTGGTTAAAGTGTCTCTTATCTAGCTACTATTTTTCCTACTTATATCACCGCGCCTACTTCATGAGGTTGGGAGATTGCTTTGATTAACCAAAGTGAAACCCTATCAAGTCATAAACTCACTGACATCTATTTTTACTTCTGTCTTGGTTTTGACTGGTAAAGTCTGTAGTTGTAATCCAACCATACATTTCCTTTATTATCTGAAGATCTTGTTTATTGTTTTTGATTGTTTGTTTTAAGTTACTTGGTCTTGTCATTAACTCACTAGGTTTCTCTTCTATTATGCTAATGATAATTGTAATAGCCCAGTATGTAGTCACAACAATTTCTACATTGCTTCCATGTAAGTTGATTGCCTTCATTTCAAACTAGCTCTATTTGGAGAGTGTGTTAAAAATCACTTTAAAGATACCCAACATCTAAACCCATCATTCTCATTCGTGTTAGTAAACGACTGCATTTCCTAATACATTACAGGCTCTCCACCGTCCGTGCCGTTGCAATCAGTATATTTTGCACATATCTTCCATTCTTGGATATTCCAGTATTTTGGCCGATACTAGTAATGTATTTTATAATGTTGTTTGCTATTATGATGAAGAAGCAAATTAAGGTTTGTTTTATCACTTTTTATGATATTTACCTATGTGCAGTTAATATTGTCTATTTGTTTAATCCACTATTCGTCCTATCAGTTTGTTTTAAGTTTTATAACTCCATTGAGTTTCACGTGGAAAACTTCAGATATCAAATGCTAACTTTTCGTTACCTTTTATTATATTGTTAGGTGCGATGTTCAGGTTTTGTAGATCAGTTCACGTACTGTAGCAATGACTATTTTACCCTCAGGTTTCACAGAATATATACATATGTGTTTGTTGAAAATGTTCCATAGTATTGTTCTATTCACTTATTGAAAAGCTTTTCAAACCCTAATTATGTAAGAAAGACCATTTATCCCCCCCCATTTCTTGATAACTTAACGAGTTAAAAGTTCGAGTAGCCGGATTACAGTTCCACTCCGTGTGATGGTTAGTAATGCTACCCGACCTTCGAAATTGAAGTAGATAGATTGAAGTTTAAACCTGAGACCTAATGGTTAGAATTTGGTTACTGTGGTTATAGAGCCACCATTTCAATAATCTGCTGTTTGCTATTTCATTTCAGCCACTCAGTTCTAGTCATCATAGAACCTGGCACAAATGTACATTTCCCTAAGCTGCCACACTACTTCAATATAGCAAAATAAAATTAATAATTGGTGAATGGGTAGTGTTAGTATTAATGACAAAATAATTAAATATGGTTCTAAGAAAAGAAACAAAATGAGAAAATTAAATGTATTCACTGATATTGAGAATATTCAAACGAAATCAATGAATAGACCTTTATCCTCTATATACTATGATACAATCAGGTCACTCAGGATTAAAACTGAATCAGTACACCAGTATCCAACATATAAATAAAAAGACTACCTCAGGTACTCTATTGTCAGTTAGTACCTGTTGTATGCTTCAGTTAATTCATTCGTACAATTGGTTCACAAAATGAGATGTCAAATTATTGTGTGACTGCATTTAACGACAGTCAAATTCAACTACGGATGGCTACGTTAATTGTAACATTTAAAAGGTACTGACAACTTGCTCTTGTTCTTCTCTCTCAAATACATCATTCAGTCCGTCATTATTTATTCCATTGCTTCAAAAATATGTAACATTTAATCATTTCTGTTGCTTGTTTGACTTTTTTCTTTTGTACGATACAGCATATGATCAAATATCGCTACGTTCCATTTACTTATGGGAAACCGAGACCTGTCGGATCAAACAATAAGGAACAAGCATCTCCTGTGATTAACTCATGACATATAATTATAAATAAGTTGTCTTCTTATCTCTCTAAATCACTGTGCTTCTTAATCTTTTGTTCATTTTCGGTATTTGTACATAGTTGTTATGATCTTATCTTTGCCTGTATATGGAGTTTTGATTGTATTTTTATGCTTTAAAAGAGGATGTTGATTACTGAAAACTAAATTGTCTTTGTTCTAAATCACGTAGTTTGTATATTTCTTTTTGTCGTTGAAAAATCTCTTGTTCTTTTCTTGAATAAATTTTAAAGCACAAATTCAGATATTTTCATTGTACATAGGTATGTACGGTAACTTCGGGAACTGAAATTGTGATATCTTTGTTTTACACATTTCAAGATACTTTACTCCTATCTTTTAAATACCCTCTATTTATTGCAATATACTTGTTCCATCTCTTCCTCTATTGTTCTAAGCATCTTTTTGCGATCCTCAAAAGTCAAACCCTTCCAGCTATCTCCTTTTGTTTTATTTTCTTTACATCGTTTTCATTCCCCCGTTTTCACAGTCGTCTTGGATTTCAGGAATAAAAGCCCTAAGTCTAGTGAATAGAGTGATCGAAATATGTGATGGGAACTTACGGTCAGTCACTGCTGATTGTCCCGACAAGTGGCCGTATTACTGGTGTCCATCAGGGTCAGATAAATTACGAATATTTTTCTTAGCATTTCACTTCCTGCTTTCCGTTCCTTGTCTTGTGACTTCAGTTTGATGCCGTATTTCGAGGATCGTTATTAGTTATGTCCATAAATAACAATCTTAGTAACTTTATTCATATATTCACTGGATAGACTATACGTCCCATCAGTTTAACCAGTTCAGATTAATTAAGATTCATTTCACTACTGAGAAGTTAATTGTACAGAGATGGTATTAATTCGTGATTGTTACCGTTTAAGTTCGTACATTACTGTACATTGGTTACACCATTTTCTTGTAATGTGACAGTCATTTTGTTATTGGGCGTCAACGTCTTTCTGTATCTATGCTTTGATCATATAACTCGTAGTTAGCCTCGAAACTAAGCTGCTAGCTGGCTTAATGGAATCACGTCATTGACATGGTCCTGAAATCTTGTCTCAAGTTGAATTTCATTCAGTCACATATCGTTATACCATGATCATGATTGGTCACAATTCAGTATTACTCGGCTTCTGCAGATCTCCCGAAAAAACAAGTATGTGAAGTCTCCGCATCCAATTATACCGAAACGTCCCTCAGTTGAGTTACCTTTTTGTAGCTGATGCATACAGCAAGTGGCCATAAACTTTTCTCATGGAACGGCCTGTAAGCTTCGCAGTCAAAAGGCCACGTCAACTGTTCAGTCGTTTCGTGGTTCCAGAATTAATAGCTGGCGACAATGGAACAGTTTACGCCTACTACTTCAGAATTTTGTCGGGTGGATGGAATCACTCATCTCTAAACATTCCCATCCCCAATCCAATGGCCAAGTTGAATGCTTTGTTAGTAGATTTAAAGATGCTCCGGATAAATCAAGAGACTTTAGAGAGGTTCTTGCTTATCTTTCGTTCTACACCAAATCTTCAAACGATCAACAGGGTCTCTCCAATAGAAGCTTTACTCAGGAGAAAAACACGAACACGTTCGTCTGATACCAGCTCTTGAGCCTCAACGGAACGGATCGATGGGGATCCGATTCCATCGACATCATGAGGTACAAAGACGGTTATTCGCTGTCGGTCAAAAAGTACTTGCTATGGATTATCGCTGTGCACATCCTACATGGACAGCTGGTCGAATCCTGCGAAAGAAATGTAATGTTGTTTACGAAGTCTCAGTTGACTCAGAAGTTTTAGTTCGTCATACTGACCAACTAAAAGCAGCGGGATCGGGCATAGAATACTTCCCGGCTGGTCATCTCTTAGCCAATCAGCGGTAGCGGATACTTGGAGAAGACTAAAATCTTGTGTAAAAATTATAAATATACTAGCGTTTTTATTGTAATTCGTGCTTCTATTCAACCTTCTTTATTTGGAGTATAATTACGTTCTTGTTCAACTGTGTTCTGATTTGGGGACTTGTCGAGTGTAGTAAACTGTCCAAAGAATATTAAGCATTAAGAGTAACTGAGTCGTAATAAGAGATCATAACAGCAGGCTTGCCATACTTTCCTACTGTATGTCAGTATCATATTTTATCGTGGGTGCGTGTTAACTATTACGTCCAGTAGTTAACATCCAAAGGATAAAATATTGGTGAATTTTATTCCACTCTGTTGAACTTTTTAGTAGGACTTGCCAATCAATATCAGTTGTAGTTTGGTAATATTTTTTCGTACGATTGTTATATACTTTCCTGAACAAAAATTATGCGTAAATGTTGTGGTTTTTGAAAATAATTTGGAGCGGTTGCTCAGTACTTAAGGCGTTTGACTTATATAATCTGACCATAAGACTTCGCAATGTTGATTGTTCCCTCATTGATTTCTTGGATTGTAGTTAGTCTCACTATTTGTACTTAGAACCATTATCGTTCTCAACCAATAGATCTATCTAGAAAAGTCCGGTCTAGTGGCATTTATGGTCATTTAATCTAGTAAGATAATTTCAGAGTAACATTTGTGTTCATATCTTACGGTTTGGATGCTAATATATTTTCTTGTGACACCATTATCGAATTTTAACATTTTACAACTATCAGGTTTTGCATATTTTATGTTGTTTTAGGGTAGTGATACTTAACTATCCTCAATGATATAACGGCTGTTCATCTTTATTTTTGCGGTTAGTTTGTTATTTCAAGAATACTAAACAACATTGGTGTAAATAAAATTACTCAGCCTAATTATGCTTTTCGTGATTAGTTTACTTTTTTAATTAGACAATGTATACTAATGAAGTTTATTGATAAAGGAAATAAGCGTTACTCACCTACACTGTTGCCACTCGTGAGCCATCGACCAGGGACCTCCCTCCCAGGTTTTAATAAGTGCTATTTATTATCTTGATGTCTGCTTCCGATTCCCAATGCAATATGTTCTTTAAGATGCTTTTTCTTTTGCCTTAAGGATCCTGAGTTAACGCTTTGTAACGCAGCCCAATGATTTCCGTAATATTTGAGCTATCCACATCCAGTGTCTTTTCCAAATTTCCTTATCAACCGGAAGTTGGTTTGTTCGTCCCCAGAGCAGGGTTCTGCCCGTAGTCCTCCCAAACCCGGATAAAAGAGGGTTAGGCATGTAGTTAGTAATGACATCCCGTGGAAAATAATGCTAGAGGATCTAATTTGTTAGTATCAAGTTTAAAATAATGGTTTGTCTTTGAAATAATTAGTTATATCAACCATCATTTGATAACTGGAGTCCAACGTAGTGTGGGAAGGCCTAAAAGGATGTTATAAGACTGATAATGTTCAATCAAAAGCTGTGGCCAATAAAGCAGAAGAACAGACAGCGGATAGCGTTTTATATTTTCAACAACCGCGGTAGTATATATACATATATAATGTAAATAATCAAACAGTTTTATCCGTTTCTTTACCATTGATACAAAGAAACGATAGATATTGAATATAAATGTGGTTACATATAAAGTGTGACAAATAAGAAAAAACGGTTTTCACTTTGTCCTTACAAAAATCACTGAATGTATATGTCACAATAATCTATACCACTGTACTTTTATTATTGTTTCGCTCGTATGAACATGTATGCTTGAGTATTGCTTACCGCTTACGCACATATTCATCCTGCTAGCTTTAATGTTAGTCGCTTAATTGATATGACGATACATTCATTTCTCTATGTATATATGTACATTTTAATCCTGTTCCTTCAACCTGATCTACACAACCAAAGGAGTTAGACAGAATAGAGGTCGAATAAAAAACTTATGTACTAGTGAGGCATTGACAATCCACCAATTCAAGTCTGAACTCTGCGTGCAAACTTCATACGTCTAATCTCTCATCCTTCCTTGGCCTTAATTTCCTTCAGTAGTACATTTTGGTTTTTTTAAATAAATGTTTCGTAATCAGTTATTATTACCTTTAAACAGTTTTTCATGATTGTTATTCAGCTTTTATTATTACGATACTTATGTTTGTCGTTTTTCTTCATAACTGTCAAGTGGACAATCATTTTTCGTAATTTTGACCAGTAAAATAATTTCCATCCTTATATTCTTCTTTTACCCGTTGATGATTGTGTAACCTCATTTGATAATAAGTCTTGAATCAGTTTAAGTAAATGAAAAAGGAAGTTTCTTTTCTGAATTCTCTTTTCTACCCAGTGACACAATGCGTTATTTTAACTATCCCATTTACATAAGAAATTAATCCTAATAATATTATCAATCCACGATATTGCGCGACCACTCATGATCTCAACCAAAACTCAACGATCACCACAGACCTATACTGATAATTATCATGTCCTCACTAGTGTCTAGGTTAAAGATGGATTTCCTAGAGTTCTAGTGATGAGCCGTGACCAGTACAGTTCAACGTGTCTGGTGTGAAACAGATACTCACTGGAAACAATAGAGGATGGTCGTGTAATATCAAGTTAGACATTAACACCGTTGAATGTCAGCTCAGTGGTCTAGAGGTTAAGCGTTCGCACGCAATACCGCAGATCACGCGTACGGGATCGGGCATGCAAAGTGCTGAAGAGTCCCAGACCAGGACAAAACGGATTTCCAGGTCTTCATTTGTGGTTTAACATTAGTCAATTCATGGTCTCAATTAAAACAGAACTTCTTCCATTTTTTTGTATTTTACTTGGAAGAGGTACGAAAATAGTATGATAATGATTGTATATACACTCAAGACCATGCAAAGAATCAAATGTAGACTTTTTAATATAGCGGCAAGTTCATTAATTATATGTTCCCGACAGTCTGCACTTCCGGATTCAGGCAATTGATAATATTAAGATAGCACCATTCTTTACTATTAGTAAAATATATCGCAATATTCTTATGATTTAGTCCCAACGGTTACGTCATCTAAACAAAATCCTAAAAGCTGTTCTGAAACTAGGTCAATGACTAGTGACTTAAGAATGTTTTCGTATTATAATTCTAACTTGGTTGATCTATTTATTAGTGTTAACACATGCAGCGACGTGTTGAGAGGTAATGGCATGCACAACCAATACATAATTCTAGATTTTTCAAACTGTTTAGGCTTACCTACAAAGAAATAGTAACAAAATGATTTTCCTGTCGAACTCTGAAAAACCTTTTCTCATAAAATCGGTTACAAGTCAAAATATTTGAATCACAAGTAAGATAATATGATTTAGATACATTTGCATTCGAAACTACTAATCATAACAATTCATTTTCTTGTTTTCAGAATCTAGCAAGAAAACGTGTTATAAACATTATCCTTGAATCAAAATGCTTTCACTCTGAGGACTGAATCTATACAAGCTCAAACTTTATTGAAGAAGGTATGCTTGATTAACAAATATGTTTCCATACACTCTTGTACTGTTTACGCGCTAGCCTACAGGAGTAAATAAACTATTATTGAAAAACAATAAAAATATACTTTTTAAAATCAAATTCTCACTAAATTTTGTGTTATATAAATATTTAGATTACTCAAGGAAATATGAATTAATCCCGTATGTTGCCAAAATGAACGAAACTTCAAAGTCGAGTCATCTAGACTAGTGGCCACATTGCAACTTGGTCGATAGCATTCGATCTGCACTAAGAAGGACCTGACACACATGACACTGACCATCACCCAGTGATCAATCAGTTACAAAACTTCATTCCTAAATTATGCATTTTCGTTGAGCATCATTCATTCCTAACAGTAAAAATTTCAATCATGTTATTGTTCTGCTTTTAAACCATTCACTCTACAAATACCGTTTCCAAAAGTTGATTACTATTGTTAGAGGGATGAATTTTGCCTAACCGATAACTAAATAAAATATGTAATTCGAAAACAATAAACAAGATGATACACCAGAGCCGATATTTCCAAAATTAGTAAAACTGACTACACAGACAATCACTGAGAGAAATTGCTGTCATACGATCTCAAGATAAAGTATGAACTGATCATATATAGTATCGGACAATACAAGCAACCAGATATTTCTGTACTCATCAACAATAGGATTAGATAATGGCATTAAAGTGACTAAAACAAACTCCTTAATTTAGTAACAAACATGTTATCTTACCATATTCTCAGGAATCCCTCGGTATCAAACGGTTGAAATCCTATGATGAAAATGTCACTTAGACGACCTGGTATGTCATGAGAGATAGAAAACCTCCAAAATATATTTTAAATTTTTGCTCGTCATTATATCAAAAAGGTTTTTGTTGCCACTGAAGTTTCGTAAATGTCTCAAATACCTAAAGGAAACGCCTCAAACAAAATACAACTTAACACAAAGTAGTTGAAGTTTTCATACATAATATGATCAACCCCTGCGTATCCAGACGAATAAATAGTTACCTCTAAGAACATACTCAATGGAATTTCCAGCAAAAATAGAGAAATGGACAGATCTTTTAAATAAGTAGGTTTTCTACTCCACGGGAAACAAACTTTTGGATATTTATATAACTATACTAAGGGAAGAATTATTAGAATATATGACCAAAACATTATCGACGAGGTCTGAGCTTTTTCGATTCAGTGTTTGTAAACCTAATTATTCATTCACGACAAAAACGTTAACGTATGTCACAAACGACGAATAAAGAAAAATTCATCTCGACATATGTATTTCATTAATGTTACACGTGAACAATCAAGACAATTTACCAATATTGCAACAATATTAAAGGCAGATTAATAAAACAAATAAGGTCAGAGTTTTTATTTAAAAATTGATTATGTATGTACACAAGAAATAACAATCCAGAAAAAAAGTGGGAAAATAATGGTTAGTGGGGGATTCGCATTAAAAATGAACAAGTGTATCGATGCCAGGTAACAAAAGTGATATCAACTATGGAATATGACATCCAAATTGTTGTTTACTATTGCTGTTAACTATTTCGTCAGCTTCTTTCTATAATAAAATAAACACAATTCACTTTGAATATAAAAATATACTACTGAGTGATATAAGTAGTTGAAAACAAGTTGCAAAAATGAATTAAATGTTCATATGATTTAAATGGATGCTTTGTACTCCTAATCTGAGATGCACTATTCATGAATCTAAACTCGATTATTTACAAAAAAGTCGAATTATCCAAACTAGATTATTATCATATAAACAGGTGGAGCAGAAACTGTATGACAAAATTTACCAAACGGATATTTACTCGTTTGAAAATTTAAATATTCAGTTGGTATTAGTTGGTTGAAATGGAGACTTTGAACATAGATTACGACTTAAGAGCTACTAACAACTTAGTCAAGTATAACTCATGCTGAATGACAGAAGTAGAAGCAATCAATAGGAAACCATGGACCTAGGATTCATGCTACTTGGTAATTTGCAATTAACAAAAAAACTTGTGACTATATGATAATATTGAGGTAATTTATTCAAGGTCTGAATAGACTAATAGAGATTGATCAATTGCAAACCTTAACATCAAAAACAGAAAGATACAAACCGTGACAAATAATGATAAGAGCTAATGTGTAACTGTTTCAATTGGACCGAAAGTGATGCCTTATTAAGTTAAAGAAATTTAATGATTACATTTCAAACAGTACATCAATTAAACATGGTGTATGAGAGTAGATACGTAGTCACATAATGATAACAAAATATAAATGTAGGTTTAAAAATTTAATCACTTTCCAAGCAGTTTACAAACGTGACTACGTATGATATCCTACTAAAGTGTATAGATAAATAAAATTGTATCTGCTGAATTCACAACTGATCAATAAGAAAATTGCCAAATTGTTTTTTCAAAAAAAACATTACTTATGAGTAACTATTACTTGACCACACAACTCCCATGTTTAATTTTACTGACTGATGTAATCACAACACAATCGACGAACATTGAAGTCGTTACTTTTTCTTTGGTCTCTCCTAACCATTAATTGTTTATTGATAGTCTTATTACTTTATATGTAATACTGGAGAAGCATAGGACACCCATCAGGATTCACTAACCAATTTTGTCCTAAGCTCTTCTTCCAACTGTTGTCAAGTGCTGTTCTTCTTTTTTAATGTCTTGCTTCAATTCCCATCCCCATTTATCGTTTAGTCTGCCTCTTTTTCTTTCGACTGGTGGATTCCAAGTTAGGTCTTGTCTAGTGATGCAGTTTGATGGTTTCCGTAATGTGTCCTATCCATATGCAGCGTCTTTTCCTAATGCCCTCTTCAGCGGCAAGTTGGTTTGTTCTCTCCCATAGTACGTTGTTTCTGATGGCATACGATTAATCGACCTGGATTATCTTGCGTAGACAGCTGTTTGATAGTAGTTGTCGTAATGCTTGAGGTCTCAACTCCGTACAATAGAGCTGTTTAAACGTTAGTGTTTAAAATTCTGACTATGATGTTGTCTGACAGTTGTCTTGAGTTCTATATGTTATTCACTTGTAGACGTACTGCCATCGCTTTGTCAATCTGTGTCTTCACATCTACTTTAGAACCCTCTTGTTTATCAATGATACTGCCCAGGCACGTGAAAGTTTCCACCTTTTTCAGTGCACCATAATGCTGAAGGAGGATCTATAAGGTTCTCCTATCCACGTTGTCAAATAATTTCTCGTAGTCAAGGAAGTTGATGTATGGTGACGAGTTCCACTCAATTGACTGCTTAAGAAAAATACGTAGTGTCGCGATTTGGTCCGTGCACGATCGATCCTTACGGAAACCAGCCTGTTGATCTCGAAGTTGGGTATCTATTGAATCTTTCATCCAGCTCAACACCATTCTGTTTGAAACTTTTCTTAGTACTGATAGTATTGTGATGCCTCTGTTGTTCTTGCAATTGTTGTAATCACTTTTTTTGGCTTCTTAATGAGGTATCTTTCTTTCAAAATATAAGGTTTGGTTACAGTTGGAGAAAGTGAAAAACAACTGGTCACTCAATTGACGACTTGTAGTTTCATTGTTTATTTATCTGTTCTGCTACGTGAAAACAGCTCATATATATAATTTTCGTTATATTGTATTTACATACATGATATTTTGAAGTCGCCAAATATACGCAGTAAGTAGGTCAGGGTTGTTTTCACATTTAGCTCGGACGAGACAGTCCCATTGTGGTGTGTGCTACTGATGTCGACAGATATAAGTAGTATGTATCATCAGTCGAAAGTGCAATGCCTGGCAGCAGATGGTTAATAAGATCTAAGAAACGAGAACGAGAACAGAGAATGATTGCTGTGGAAATGAAAGAACAGTGAAGTCTGAGCCGATTGATTGACATTTTGCGAATCAAGTATTTACTATGTGGTTCTAAGATTTTACTAAGACGCTCTGTAATTTTGTGTTCAAATACATTTGGTTGTCCCCGCTTGTGTTCTCGTTCACTATACCACCATCATTAAAGTAATTAATCAAACCAAAAATGAATCTTCATGAAAGATTAAGGGAAAACTTGGCGGTGACTGAAATAAAAATTAAGATCTCACTAAAAATGCAACGAAAACACGTATCCTAACATGAATTAACTTACACAGCTGCATTTTTTCCACTCAAAATTACATAAGGCATTGACATTGCTTCTAGTTTTTTATTCAGTTTGTTAACTGTTCCCAGTGGAGTATCTGAACTGGTGCTGGCTTTAAGAAGCTAAATCCATAATAGAAAAAAAAGAATATTTTATTATTTTCAAAAGTTAAAATAGTGAAAACAAATTGAGAGACGAGATGTTACTTCGTAAAACAAATACTAAGTACATATACTTGAAATGACATTGAGGAAAATACGAACTTGAATTAAAAAATCAATCAATTCGATACTAAAGTTCCTCTTAAGCTGTGGCACAGAGAGATCTAACAAAATATATAACTTTATAATGACTCAGAAGAATTAAAAAAACTTCAACATTTTAAACAGTAAGATGAAATAAAATCTAATATTTGAAGTTTTACATTACAGGCTAAATTTACTTAGATGCCCACTGAAACCAGGAAGCACTGAACATCTATTTCGTCCTACTATGTAACTACACCAAGGATCGAACTAAAAGCCTCCAAGCCTCTTGACAAGCGTCCAAACTTCAGAAAACTGAGCTGGCATCCAATTATATGCAAGTATTGCATGACCCATTATCCATTGCCATTAGTAATATTTGACTGACGACCGACATGGTTGAAATCCAATGCTCAATGCTTTTTAATAGAACCCTAAGAATTATCTCTTGAATTTAGTCCCTAGTCACCACAGAATGGTTGTTGAATTTGAAATTATCTTTGTAAACATCCCTGTTTTGAACAACTTTTCTCCAAAGAGGTAAACTTTGCGGAAAAGCAGACACTTCGCTAGTTATAATATTTACAAAACTCCTGTCCTTAATAGCTAGTGATTTTTTACGGTGGTGGAGGGAGAGATGGTTGGCAGTCCCCTGCACAAGGTCGGACAGGGCACGTGATGCCCACTCTCCTGAGGCACGAAACATCCGCTACTTTCGGATGGCATTTTTCCCAAATTTACATCTCATGTGTATCACTCACCTCACATCACCCCACCTAACCTCACAGCTAACTCACTCACTCACTTCACTTCAATCACAATCACTCAACTCTCACTGATCAATAACCAGACACAAATTCCACACATTCACTCTACATTTATATCCAACAACACATTCTTCATCACTACAATTCGCAAAAATACAACTCAACCACCAATCCACTCAACCAATCACTCACTAACTCCATCATACGCACACACAACACGATTAATCATTCACAATCTTTACTGAGGTTGGCATGTTTCCCAAGATTTTTTACGGTTTTTAGCATAAAACGGTAAGAAACTTAAACATTTTTGACTATTTTATATAATAAGTGAAACGGATAAACTACACCTTTACTATAACAATTAACAATATGTTATGGAGGTCTATTGAAATCTAAGACTACTACAAAGTTGAGAGCGATGCTATGATTAATTTGTTGCTAGTCGACGAATTACCCCCCTCATATAAAATCTTTTAGTGTTCGGAAAATCACTAATCCAACTCGTTTCAGAATTTTTTATCGTTTGATTATTTGAGAACAAGCTTTATTTTTAACAACTAATCTCGTATCTATATTCCAAGGTCATATAAACAGTATAAAACCAGTAAAACTGTTTGTATAATGACCTTTTCTAGAAACATTAAAAAGTCTCCTGTAAATCTCTTTCTTAATCTCCAGGGATCGTTGGGTATCTTTAATGTAGTTCTGTAATGAAGAAACACGTATGTCGTAAAATATCATTATATCTCAACTATTTTAATATTTGGTTCGCTTTATAAAATTTCACTTAACCAACTTGCAAATTTAAATGACGTAAATTTTCAATTTTTGGTGAGGAGCAATGCATAAGGGACTTTTACTAAAATTTGAATCTGGAAATAGATTCGTCAGCAAGTACAACTTAACGACGAAAGTTGAAATACTAAAAACAAAATAGCAGTTGGATAAACTGAAATACTTATTTCTTCTTTATATAATTCCGTTGAACATCAACCGTCAACATCTTATGCACTTTAGTGTTCAAACACATAACACACACATTTTTTAATCGTGAAATTTTGTACGAAAATAAGTTTATCATTTAGTCTCACTACCGCTTTTATCTACCAACATTATAGAACATGACGATAGATAAAAAACTATTTTTCTTAAAATTTCTTAGGTCTTTGTATTTTAAGTAGTGTGCTTAGTTCCGAAGAATATGTTGCTGTGAAATTCACTCACAACTGCCAGTTAGATATTTAACCAGTTATAAACAAATAGGAACCTGAAATAAATATACCTCGACAAAATTGCCATGTCTTACATCAGCACAGTCAGACATGAAATTAACAAGATGAAGAGAAAATGACTCAACTGAATGCCACACATCCAAGAGTCCATAACTTAAAATGCTGATACCATGTTTTTTTGCCACACCTAGTCTTCAACCAACGTATTATCATGCATTTAGTGTAAAAAACACGTTCGAAACCAAATCAGTGGACGAAAGTCCATAATATTATTACCCAATTTACTATCTCTACCTAGTATCTAATAGGTCACACCAACGCCGCGGTTAAACCATGTATATTTAGTGATAGGAATACAAGCGTAATCGAGTACCACTAATTTTATATAAAGTTACGAACAATATTACGAACTTCTATTTAGAATAAAACTGAAAGTGGGTTGGATTATTTTAACATACGATTGTAAGTTTATAACAAAAAGTGAAGCAGTGAATTATTGACATTTCGATCAAATACCTTCTAAATTAGATCTTTAATTCATAGGTTCAGGGAATGATCCACTGAGGAAACCACTTACTTAGGCGTGAAAATATGAGGACAATCCCAGCGCACATATATATACACGAATATCGATGAATAATCACAAAATGTTCTACTCGTTCTGACTTATTGGTCCTATAAATGATATTTACAATCAATTAATTGTAAAATTACTAGCCTTGCAAGCAACAGATACAAATCTGTTTAGCTCAATTTGGTGAGTCAAATAGTATTAACGGTCATGATGTAAAAAAACATCGCTTTAAATCGAATAGTAAAAAACCTGTAATTGGTAAACATGTTAGTTTAAATTAATAATTAATCCATAAACTTACAAACTCTTCATTGATTTTTTTCATACGTTTTTGTGTTTTATTCTTACCGGAACCCTTTCCATGAAATTTATGACTTAATTGACGAAAAGCTTCTTTAGCACTTAAATCGCGTCCTAGTTCATCAACGTATTCTAATTTAATATCCGGTTTATATTGCGTTAACTCTTTAAAATCTGATAATGGACCAGAGTAACGATCACGTTTGTAAAATTTCGCATCAATATCATCATAGCGTATATCTTCTTGGACAAAGTGTTTAGCCATTAGATTGACCATAGTTCCTGAACCAGTCTAGAAAAACAAAGATAAAAAGAATGAGTACAGATAATAAAAATGGTTAGCTTAAACAACAAATAGAGTTGAGCACTGTTGCGAATATAATATTATGATTAAAAACTGAAGAGGAATTCGCATCGATTAAAGTGTAAGAAGTTAACTCACTCGTTTCTCTTTTTCTTTATCAATATAACCTTTTTTCTCAGCCAACCGAATGGCTGAAAATACTCCTGAATCCAGACGTGGTTCATCATCTAAAACTCCATGTATATCAGTATTTTCTGCTTTAAAATGTTCCTGCCCAGATTTTTTGACTGTTGGTCTCGGTACTGTTCGAGTTGAATTCCCAAGAATATCATTACCGACAGTCTGCCATCGATCGTCTAGAAATAAAAGAAATAAATTTGCTATTCCCGTCTCTATATATACACATAGTTGACTTTAATGAGCGCTACTTAAGAAAAAATGCTAAACGACAACATAGAAGCAACACCACAGAGAGAAATAAACTGTCAATCAGTAATTTAAAACTTGGAACCTGGCACATATGTGTATCAGTTCAAGTTATCACAGCCTACTCCTATATCAAATAATATCGCGCACCGAGGTAGATGGTTGCAGGGTATAGGTAATATATGTATTCTAATTACTGTAATCAATGGACATGTAGTGCCTCGTCAAACGATACGCGACCCTTACCTAGTACCCTGCCTTAACTCAACATCGCGCAGTCAGTGGTCTCAACATACATCAGCAATGATTCGAAGGCATTTATCATCGAATACTAGTGAACTACGAATATCCCGTATTTTTAAAGGCCACATTTCATTACTATAAGGTAGAAGAGAGTGAACTAATGAAGCTGGTAGACTGATACCTAACCTAAACCACAAGTGGCACAAGTTGGCAAAAATCATACGAGTTTTCTGCGTCCATACGTTTCATCAGATACCAACTCACTAGGGTTGATCAGACTCCCAAGACAAGTGAAGTGGTTGATGCACTCAACTACTTCACTCGCTATCATTAGCCCAGGGTTGACGCAGATCAGTCCTGAGGCACCATTTTGAATTTAGAGAAAGGAAATCGCATCTCAAACATCACCCAAGGCTATCACAAACTATTTTGTCGATATCTTCACCAAATAGAACTACGTTATCGGGGTATATTAAGTTAACAAGTGAATCTCTTGACATAAGATTGTTTCCTGAAAAGCAAGATGACGGTAGCGTTATCTCCAAAAGAAAAAAACTGCAATCTACCCTCTATTGTTTTATTTGATGATCACACTTCTTTTCCAATGGCTGATACGTAAATTTTTTAAATATTTTTAAAAAACAAACATTCATAGATGAAGTGGAAAATAGAAACTTACTTGATGCTTCCAACTTTGTATCGTCATAATTTGTATCATAGTCTTCACTTTTCATGCGATAACTACCTTCTGAATCATAATCAAGTTTTCGTTCTTCTTCTTCTTCTTCCTCTTTATACGGCAATCTTGTAGGTGATGAACTCGTAATATCATCATCATTAGTACCAACTGCTCCGCCATTATTCTGTAATCTAGACTGATTTTGTAAGAACTGATTGTAACGAGTATTTCTTTTCATACTTTCTTGAAAACCAATACCAATTGACTTATAAAATTCTGCAGTAGAGTCGAACACAATATTGTCTTTTTTGCTATTATTTGTCAATGTATCAGACGCAAGTGACTGTGACACGGATTCGGATGAATGAGTAGCTATATTTTTTGCTAAGAGTTGTGATGTAATCTTTTAAATGCAAAAAGTATAGTGAGAAGAGAATCAATCTTATCTTAGTTTATATGAAGTAATAGTTAAAAAATGGTTTTTAAATAGACAGAAATTATTCAAGTGCTGTCATAGCTTAACAATGGGTCATATCAATCGTGTTTAACCATGATCACACTGATTTTTAACCGTAATGTAATTCAGAAACACTTGAAAAGTCAATATACTTGGCATAAGTTTGGACACTATTAGCTTGTATTTAGCCTAATTTCTTAAGTCCCATTTATTCATTTTAATATTATATAATCTCTACATTTCACGAAAATGCTGTCATAAAAAAATTGACGTACTTCTTCCGGTTTAGAAACAACCCGTGACTTCGATTGCACGACTCGCCCTATAGTTTTCTCTAATTCACTTCTCAACTCATCTGGTTCATCGATATGATCTGCTGCAGACCAATATTCTTCGTAACTATCTGAGTATAGGAGAAAAAGAAATTGCGAAACATACATTTGAAATAACCGATTATTTTAAAGCGATCAACAAGTGTTCTGTAGTTTATATTGTGACAAATTGAAACCTAGCATCAGAAAGTAATTATACACATATAATTTCGCTTGTGTAGTACCAACATGAGTTTGCAAGTTGACAAATAGCTAACTCATCCACTTCCAAAACGATAAAAATTATTTGAAAATAATAAGCTTTTTCAAACTTTTAAGTTACTTACACGGGTTTCGGTTTTTTTCTCAGTGCTTTTTTGGAGTCGTTTCTTTCATCCATTATATGTGTGTGTAAACGACATATTAGTGTATGATTTGGGATTTTCCCTCACAACCGTTATTATTCTACAATTTTAGTTCTTTTGTCTAAAAGAGAAGCTGTTAGTATTTATAACACGCATCATTGTCATACCACTGGGTTATATTACTTTTCACACATGTGTAATCAAACTTCGTATAACTCAACTGTTTCGACTAATCGAAAACCGAATCCGTCACGCATTTGCTGACAAAGAAGATAAAAAGGTTGGAGCTAGTAACAATAACAACTTTTTACATAAATAGCTATCAGCTTAGCCCTTCTATAGGTGGAGACTTAGATTTTTATCACTGTAGAATCACTTGCCCAAAAGTCTACTAAATGAATGATGTGTTAGGATTTGGAATTGTCAAATAATACTCTGCTATAAAAGTTGTTTCAATTTAAGGTAATGATACAATTTTAAGTGTAGAAATATCTTCAGTACATAGTTGTGAAATAAAAGTGTTGGTTTCGCAGTTACAGTTGCATGGTAATAGTCGTTTTGATTTTTAGTCTAATTTGTATGACATTACAGGCTATTGAATGCTATAAATGTTTGTATTTTGACTATTTATGTTACAAAGTATAGCCTATAGGTTTTTCAGTTAGTTAAATCGATTCAAAATCATAACGATACTAAAATTCATAAGTTGAAAAGTAACATTTAGTATGAAATGTTATTTAAATGTACTTATTAAACTATTAAGGTAACAAAACAGCAGAACATATAATACCTTTGACATCTATTATTTGTGCAGAAAATTCTTCAGCCGGAAACGTGTCATTTGCAGATGGGATGTTACTATTTAAGCGTTTTTCTCTAACTGTTGAACGGCTTCCTAAATCAGAAGACCCTGATTGTTCTGGCAATTCACTCAAAAGTTCATCAGCAGTCAGTGCTTGACGAATAGTTTTGATACGACGTTTACGCTTTTTAAATTTTGCAGCCATTTCTTCCGTACTGTAGTACTCAGAAGCTATACGAAGCTCAGTATCAGGCAACGATTGCTGAAATGGGATTAAAATGATCTATTAACAAACAATGAAACATTTAAGTTGGTGATGCATCCAAACAAACACGGCAATATGTTAAACATGAGAAACATTTATTAGTATGTACATGAATCTTGAATATATACTTACTCGTCCTTCTTTCAGTTCAGCTTGTAGTTGTTTCAATAAACGCTCATTCTCTGTATTATAAGAGCCATCAGAATTAATAACAAAGTGGTCTTTTTTAATGCCATTAATCTCTGAATCATACTTGCTTAGAACAGCTTTAGAGCGTAAACCAAGAAGTACATCCTCATCCACTTCGTCTTCAATTCCTGCCAGACCGGTAGTCTTTCTTATGTTTTCTCTATTGACGTCAGCTTTTTCATCATCAATTATATTTACATTCACTAAAACGTCTTCAGATTCATCCAAAACACCTAAATTAAAAGGCGAAAATTACAAATATTGAACCTATGATCGCTACAATGTTGATTAAAATAATGACACAGCGAGGTTAACATTTATGGGGATTGAAACAGATTTCGAATTACTCTCAGTAGAAATAAATTCAGAACCTCCAGTTCACCAATACAATGAAGTCAAGTTGTGGTGGTTTATAATGAGTATTTTTTACATGGTACTCATTCTCCAAGAAAAACACGATAGAAGTCAGTAAATTATTCTACACCCGTAATATAGCATAGATTTTAAGTATTTGAGAAATATTTACATTGATCGATACAAAGTAACCTATTATGGAACTCCAGAATGGTAAATAAAATAGGCAGAAGCCATTTGCAACACTAATCTGAATCACAACTTATCTGGAGTTAAGACTGAAAAAATTGCAATAAAAAGTATATCAGCAATAAAACAATGTGGAACACAAGTTTTCGTAAAATATATTTACCACAGGTGGTGTATCAAACTACATATTCAAATAGCTCTTCAAGATCATCCAAGATTCGGTCGATAGTGTCTTTGAATCATGTACCGGAACCACTGAGAGAGCAGTCGAGAAGCTATACAATATGTTCTAGATGAGGCGAACTAGTTAACGGTGTTATAGGTATATAGTGACTGGGATAGTTTAGTCATGTGTTAGGCATGATAAGTCATCACTTACAGTAATACACGATACTTATTAGACTGAAATAAAGTTAGGGATGTCAATAAATCATTTCTTCTCTGCAAACCAACGCTCACCATAAATTAATATCCATCGTTATATATTTAAGTTGTTTCTATTTTGGTAAGATCATATGAAAATTTTTGTGTCAATCAACACTCACATTACTTTAAAGAATCGATAGCTTCCTGAAATCTTAGTTCGACTGTTAGTAATTCTAACATCGTTTATACGCTCGAATGAATATACCGCATTCGTAAGGAACTGTCTGGTGAAGTACATAAGTCAGTCATCTACAACGTAGGACCAGGCACATATATGCATCGATCCAAGTTGTTACGCCTCATTAGCACAGCAAGGTGAACACCGGATTCATAGAAGTAGTTAATTCAATGCTTGTAATACATTAAAGAAAGACTGCATATAACGGTATGGTATAGAAAGAAAGATATGAAGCGATTTTAATCTCATAGTTTAAGGGAACACAGAGAGTATATACACCTACACCATTATGATCGATTCTGAGCCATGTCACCAAGTCTCCAACCATTGGTTACGATAGTCACGCGAACCCCAACCAAGTAGTCTGCATCTACCAACATGGCTCACACTACAAGTTAGTGACTTCAAGCACTGATGCCACGTTTGAGTTTGGCCGCCCCTAACTTTCTTCCAGATGTGTCCAACACCAGTCACCATTACGCGTCGTGGTAATCGGTGTTCAGGCATACGTAACACGTGACCCAACCATCTCAATCTATGAAGATTAACAATCTCAACAACTGATTTACCATCGTTCTCTAATACTCTGCGTCTAATCTCACTATTACTTACCCGGTAATCCCAGCAGATGCGAGCAGTACTTCTAAGGCATGTGTGGTTAAATACTAGTAGCTTACGAGTATCTTATACTCTCAATGGCCACGTTTCGCAGCCGTAAAGTAGAACAGAACGAACTGCCGTGCAGTATACTCGTCCTTTTATTGATAGACGGATATCTCGCCTTCGCCATAGGTGACGCAAGTTGGCAAAAGCCAAACGAGCTTTTCGAACCCGTGCTGAGATTTCGTCAGACACCAACCTATTAGGGCTGATCAAACTTCCAAGATAAATGAAGTTGTTAACGTGTCCGACTAATTCATTTTCTATCCTTAGTTCAGGCGTTGACACAGGCCAGTCCTGGAGCAACAACTTGCATTTAGAAAGGGAGAAACGCATCCCGAACATTCAGGGATTGTTGCTCAGTGCTACCAAAACACTGCACTTTATCAGCGTCTTCATCAAACAGGACTATATCATCTGCCTAGTCGATAAGTGGACTTCCTGGTAGGAGATCAATGCCCGAAAATTCAGTCGACGAGAGCGTTATTTTCACTAGTAGGTCTATGATGAAGCTAAACGAAAAAGCCAGAATCCCCCTCCCGTTTTTAAGCTGAAACTACTGATGAACAAGAAATCGCTAATACGGATGTATTACATAGACCAAGTCAAAATGACTGCATCTATCTTGTATATGTACTTCAGAAATAAAATAAATTACACTCTAGGTTAGTTTGAAATGGCGAGTTTCGTTCAGTTATTTTACATGGGGTCCAAATCTTACAAGCCTGGATAAGCGGTTAACATAAGACATGAAGGGAAACAAGCGAGCTATTTTTCAGGGTGGTACTACTAGTAACACTTGATGGACTGAAAGCACGAGTTGTCTAACAAGCTCAGTGAAAATGTGGAGAAACTATAATTTATGGACAAACCAATCGGATTTACGATGACATGTCTTGGATTTCGGTGCGAAATTCACTCATTTGGCTAAATAGTTTTGGCATTATATCTGATGTCAGTTCACAATAAAAACCCCAAATCTAAAGCCTAACCCCAACTATTAAACATAAATATTAATCTTAATTCCTTACACTAGTTCATAGCCCTCATTCAGCCGTAGTATGTAAGCGGACATTTTCAAGGTCTTCTCAGCGTCACTCAAAGGTCGTCCATAAATTATAGTCTCACTGAAAATGTTTGATTTTTTTAGTAATCTGCTGAAAATATTAGTATTGGAACATTTCCAGATAGCAGATCTCCAAATGAGTATTTGTAGATTGCTCAATAAGTACACAATTATGCTTGAGCTACACTTCGAGTGAAAGAAAGTGACATCACTAAACTGTTAGGACCGAAACAGATGGAATGGGTTTTGAATTTGCAATTTCATGGCTGTAATTCAAGGGCATTACAAAACAAATCACTCAAGGTGAGGACTATATTCATAGGCTAAAAACAGACTAATCCTTAAACTGAAGTCTGCAACAAGCTTAAACCAAGATAGTGAACATGTTAAACGAAAACTACTACAGTGACCGATTCACAAGTTATTATACAGATTTAAACCGTAAAAAGACAAAATGCGACAAGCAGTAATGACAAGCCGACAACTAAATATCACAATGACTTAATATATACATCGGATATCTGAACTCCAATCGAAATAATACAAGTAAATACATGTGAGCCAAAAACATTTACATGTAAAAGACTTTAGGAACTAAAACATTTCCAAGCAAACCTGAGTCTTTAATAGTCAAGATAACTGATTGACCGTCAACAAAACGGGATGAGCTGTGTTCAACGCGAAGACCGGCCAAATCATTGGGTTTGTACTTTTTACCATTTTGAATCAACCGTGACTCTACAAACTCAGAAACAGCCAACTGATCGTCAATCTCAGACAAAAGCTTTGCCTAGAAAAGCAATCAATATGAGCAAAGCCTGCATAGAACTTACTCTTTCTTCGGCTTGTTTCTGAATTCGTTCTTTCTCACGCATTTTCTCAACCCATGATTGAACATCCGATTCACATGCAGAAGGCGTGGATAGTTTTTCCTGCCCAATTTTATCTAACAATGACCTTTTCTCTTTCAAGACATTTAGCTTTTCTTTGATTGCTTCTGATTCCCTTATTTTTCTGATATCTTTAGCTGGTGCATGGACGTAGCAATCGGCTTGATTATCTACTGCTCGTTCTGGTTTTGAAGTATCATCAGCATCCAGAGGAGCAAGACCCAATTTAGCCCGCAAGGCACTAAAAAAGTATATTATTTTACCCTATATTTACTTTGTTTCCGCAACTGAGAGAGAAATATCAACACCAGTGCCTCCAGCTAAGCATAAGTTGTAATAGGTTATACAAGTTTACTTACTATCACTAGGTGATTGATCATCTCTCCTGGTAGCAATCCTATCAGTAATCTGGTCCAAGGGAGAACGAGACCTATCACGATTCTTGTGACGATGTTTTTTGTGCGATCGATGAGGAGAACCCCTAGTCATTCTGTGAACCTAATAATGGCGCCTTGACCTTCAAGGTCAAGTATTCGTAATCCACATCTCTCTACAAGTTTGACTTGACTTTTGAATGTCTGTGTCTAGCTCTAAGGTACGTTGTATTCTATGGAAGTGTACAAAGTGACATATGTTAGAATGTAGATGAGAAAAAGTGAATCGTAACTTAGTAAGCCTGTAGAATGCACTTCTGTCCAGTGAGGTAGGTGGTTGGAAGCGATGAGCTCTAATAAATGGGTAAAATAAAGATAATATAGTCGTTACAACCAAAGGCTGGTAGTGTAGGGTTTCGAATTAGGTAGTGTTTCATATTTAAAAATGTTCCATTTATTCACCGAATTTGTGAAATTTATGTAGTTTGTGTCTTAAAGTACAACATGGAGCAAAAATGCTTCTGACGGCCCTTTCAATCCCTTTGAATTATTTGTATTGTAAGCACTGAATAACACTTAGAACTATATCACATGTGTTTTGGGTGTGTAGCAGCAAATAATTCGCCAGAATAAACATTTCCATAAGTCTTCATTAATGCCGATCACGGTAGACTTACTGGACACATCCTACCTGAAGTTTCTCGGTCACGCATCTGCAACATACTACGCGTATAAACTTCGTGCTATGACTTCATACTACATAGTTTAGATCAAACGTTTCTCGATATATCAATAACTTCGCAAATATATCTTCAAACTCCTTCACTTAGGACTTCTGATTTGACTTGTTTAATATCCCCCAATCATATGGGTTTTACAGGCAAAAGCATTGTCAAATTCTAAATATCTGTAGCATTTCTGAACGCAGGATGTAACCGCAACTGCAGGTGCAAACTTTCCATAGGTATATATTGTTGCTTGTGAATTCAGTGGGAGTTGAATTACTTATACTGTTTATAATTAACAGCGAATAACTGCTGGTTACGTATGTAATGGTAAAAACGTCCCAAAACAAACGGTTTTGCGGCGATTGTCCGAGACTGATGCTAACCTTGTTAGTTTTAGTTGACATTACTAGCTGACAGCTGAAAGACAAGTGTCAATACTAAATCTGGACAAAACTGAATGAGAAGCACTTTTCATATATTGGATAAATGGTTCAAAAATCTCACGTTCATCGACCTAGGCCTTCACAGAAATGTCTTTTCCTTCTAATAAACTTTTTCTTTGTTTTTATTCAGCCTAAAAGATATTAGATACATTGAAACTAGAATTGTTTCATTCTGCAGTGTCGACTTATATTTGCGTTTACATTTTATATATAGGTCGTCATATGAGTGTATAATCTATGGACTGGCCTTATATGGGCGTTAGAAGTTTTTTCCGATTCACTTAAAAAGAGTGACATTTGCATATGTTTGAGGTTCAGTGATGGTAAGCGAAGAGGACTCTGATCGACTTACATGTATAAAACTATTGTTGATTGTTGTGAGGAAGACCCAGATTTCTCAGTACATCTGATTAACTAATATACTATGTACCACCATCGGTGCATGTTATGTCCTATTCGGCTAATCTGTGTTATTGTCTTTTCACAAGTGCATTAAAATCAGAGAACTGATAAGAACGGAAAAAAGACATCCAATACACAGATTTCTCGACCTTTCCACACGCCAAAGGCGGCTATATCTCAACGTACGGAGTCAAAATTCACGGACACTTAAAAATATCAGACGCGCGAGATTTATAACCCTCAGTTTTGGTGTTTGACCAAGTTTGATATAGAAACAAACGTCCGAAAATAAAGGACATAGAAGTCACCTCTTTCTTACTATTGACCATTCTAGATGTGGTTAGAAAAAAATGGACAACAACATTTGACCAAGCACTGGTAACATTTTTTCCACTCTCTGTAATCGGTAAACAAGACAACTCATTAGATTACTGAGCGTTCGATATCTTTATTTTCTTTGCAACTTGGATGATTTAACCCTGTTATTTAACAAGCATACTTGTACATTTTTGCTGATTCATATTGTCGTGTCGCTAGTACTGTTCTTTCACTGCGTTTTTTTACTACTAACATGTACCACATGACCCCTTATTTAATAAAAAGGAATGACCAAACGCTGTTGAACACAACAAGTAATCAAAATATTGTTCACCAGCGACAACCTCATCGGGTTTAACTAGCTGGCTGGCCACAAACTGGATTTATCTCTGCCTGACTAGGGTGGATGAACTGTAGCGGTAAAAAATATCTAAAATAAATAATTCTTTAAGCCTTCGACATTTGATGGTGACCGCCACAAATTTTGAGTGAACGTTTGTATGATGATGTCGTTTAGAATAACGATGAAAGCTCCACGACCTAACCATCCAAGTCAGAGAACAAAACTCCATCAAAATCATACACCTGAGCTACAAATATTCACCATCTCACAATAGTTTCAGTAAACGAACCTAGCCAGAGGCACTCAGTCACGCACCCGTACCAGATACGTTTTTCTGTAGTGCAACGCATCCCTTGCAACTGTTAATCAACATAGAAAAGACGCACCCAGACATATCATTAGACTTCGAAATACACCTTCAAACCCCTTCTGATTGGACTTGGTTGACGCAGTTCAATTATATAGGTGCAATATGTAAAGGCATTGCCAAGCTTCAAGTACTCGAAGCATCTTAATGTGCAAAAGTTTTACATTCATTCGATTTCAATTACAGTTTTGTTTTATCTCCATCGAGCGAAAATTGTCTAGGTAAATCCTATGTACAATTTTATTAATTTCATAAAATCATTCCTGATTTTAGTAGACGTTGGTCTTTCTTACCATCCTAATCTGGCAAAAGATTGGCAAAACATGGGCTCTACGGGATGCCTGCAAAGGACTACATTTGTAGATGCGGTAGAGTGATTTGAGAATTCTGAAAATTTTCAACGACAAGGAAATTCCAATTTAAACTTGGATGTCATCCAGGTAATTTGCCATAGCATATCAATGGTAAATCCTGTAAATCACTAAAGCAGATGGTCTTCGTTAGACGATTGTGGGTTGGACAAGAATGGCGTGATGAACCTTCTGAATTTGAAGTCACATCTCGCGGTCAGCATGTAATGTGAATTACTCTTTTGCGTTATCAAAGTACTATGGCTGAGTTGAATATCGTATAACGTTAGCACAGAAACATGTTAGCAAGAGTAGGTACACGGAAGAGATCAAGACCACCACCACATAGGCCAGTTCATGGAGTGAGATTAACTAATGTTCGTTAGTTGTTCTTGACCTTGAGGATGATCAGTGAACTGTTCGACCTTCGGTGACCCAACGGCTGGGTGGTTCGTTTGTGGACTAATGACATATCATAGGTTCATCATTCAATCGAGCAACTTCATCACCTAATAAAACATGCGATTCATTCATTTGAAAATTAAAACACTCATTCCCTATAAATATATAGTGACGTAGATGCGGATGAAATAACATATTTTATTTCGTTGGTTAGTTATCGTGACTTAACTGTGTCGAATTTTCCGGGTTAGAGAAATGTCAATCATGAATTGAGAATTGAAATTTATTCTCTAGGTCACTTGGGTTTTCATGGTGAATTAATGTAACTCATTCAAAAGTTTACCTTATCAACATTTAGATCCTGTTATCAGATTGTCACAATATCAAACTCACGTTGTCTTTTTTCTATAAGTTGCTTTCATCATTAAATGTAAGTATAATCCATGTGCTCACTGGGTCATTAGCCTACTTTTACCGAGATTGTTTTTCCAATACACCCCTCATCGAAATCCCCTAGCAGATATGGTATATTAAAACTGGAGAACCTCTCAAAAACTAAGCATTATAGCATATGTTCACGCATTAGAAAACATCTTTACTCAGCGGGGAAAACCTTAGTACTACTGTTGTATTGTTGAAGAAATGTGGCGAGTTAAAATAAAAATACTTTCTCTTACATGTTAGAACTGTTTAGGTTGTTTTACGTTCACTTCATATTACATTATCCCTTTCTCGAATTTCTTAAGTCACTTTTCCCTGCTTCAACATTTTGCTGGTCAAATATAATATAATAACAACTGTTTTGTCTAAGGAATCGACAGTACCAAATATAACTTTTAAAAAGGCTATCATGTAAAACAAATTGACGAAATAAGAGAACGTCCAACTTAAAACTTGTCTAACGTAAACACTGTTTCATTGAAAGAGAGCCTTTTAATGGTTTATTGCACCATAAGTTCCTTTAAAAGCGAGTCTGAAAAGTAATCACCTGATCATAAGTTAGTTTTAACTAAATAATTGGAATTATGAACGATTACGCCAATATTGTTGAATATTTTCGGCCATCATTTCAGATTTCTCTGCTTACTGTTGCTTTTTCATAGTCACAAAATACCTTGCTTTAATACAGGTGATAATGGTAATCGTTATACTAACTGTCACTCCGGATACCAGTCCTTGTTTTTGTAGAACACATGTTATTTATTTTGAGAATAAATGTTACTCTTAACCCTAATTCAAGAATGAGATCAATTAGAAATCGGTTGTGACACTAGTTTTCATAACTAGAATCTGACCTCAGTGCAGGTACGACCTAAAATATGTGAAACAAGAAAATTAAATTTATGCTTATTTGGAAATTTTAACTGATTAAAAATCTAGATATAGTTTTGTTTGTTGTTTTTGATATAACTTTTTCCCCAGTACCTCGCAAGACCACTTTAAACACATCGCAATGATTTGTCTACGCAGTTATTTTACTATTCTGCTACTAGTAACAATGCGCTTAATATTCATGTACCTGAACAGATAGATAAAAAACGTGTTGTCCACCTTTATTAGATTGTCTGAGCTATGGGCTTCCAAACGTATACCGAAGGGATGATGTTGTTCAAGTCAGACCCAAATCAATTATATACACTTAATTATCTATAAATCAAACCGTCTTATCAGCAGGTCATTTAAATGTAACATATAATTCTATCTATCGGAGATAGTTAACTAATGAGTTGATTTATAGCGGCAAACACGACAGTGTTTGTGAAACAAGTGTATAAGTAACTTTTTAAATATAATTGTAGAATATTAGAAGTGATTTAGATTAAACATCTC